AGCAGAGACACTTCTGCTCAAACAGTGACAATAACAGGACAGAATCTGCAGCCTGAGGACACAGCTGTTTATTACTGTATATGTTAACACAATGTAATGCAAACCATTGACAGACCTGCACAAATACTCAGCAGCAACCATGCTTGTGTTGTAATTGTGAATAGAAATAATACCAGTGTGAGACAGAGAGCTTACCGTATGGCAAAGGGTAGCTTTACCTCAGGAGAGAGAGCAGATAGTTTGCTAATTCCAGTCCTTTCATTGGAGTATAAATGTTTGTGAATGTTCAATAGAAAGCACTTATATGTAGAAAACATGCTTGGGTAAATGAGAAATGTCGTATAAAGTAAAAAAGTGCTATATAAGAAATAGCTTCTTCATATGTGGTTAGCTTTGTAAAATAAACTACTGTGTATTACTGTGCAGAAGTTGGCTAAAGGAAATTCTATTAATATGCCTGAGGAAATAAAAATCTTCATAGTGAACCACAACTATATATTTTTCTATATAATTTATCAGAACTTTTATTCAGTTTTGTGCGCTGAACAATATGAGTCAAAGAATGCCACTGACTGAACTGTATAGCTTCAGGATTCACAGTCAGTAAATCAGTAATAACACGTGTCATAAACTGGGCCACATGACCATAATAAAACAAAAAAATGCACACAAATTCCAGTTAAAAGAAGCTGTTTATTATAAGTAACAAATAAATGAATAAATAAATAAACAAATAAATAAATAAATAAGAGAAATTCAAACTAACCACGGTGTGTACAGGACAATCAAAGTATGCAACATCGTTTGATGCAAAAATCCATTTGCAAATAACTTATTTCTGAATACAGCTGACAATTTACTTTTTTTCCCTCTAAACTTTCTAAATGTGTTTCTGTGAAGGAATCAGTGAAAACATGATGGACTTCAGGTTAGTTAATGTAAAAAAAAATGACAACATTATTTATGATTCAACACTTCTTCCTAGTTTTAAGGAGGAGTCAATGCAAATATTTTAATGTTTTTCATTTATACTTATCTGACTGCTTAGAGCATGACAAAACAGTGGGCAGTTGTAGTTAAACAAGATGGACTATTGGACAGCACTGCTACTTTTAATTGTCTGCTGGAGAGGTGAAACTCTTCACTGATGTTCTTCTGTTTCTTTAATTTATGATGATACTTTATTTTATTATGATGTCCTTTTTTATTTCTGTTGACAGGTGTTGATGGTCAGACTCTGACACAATCTGAAGCAGCGCTTAAAAGACCAGGAGAATCCCACAGACTGACCTGTACGGCATCTGGATATAACTTTGGAGTCCACAGCCTGGTCTGGGTCAGACAGGCTCATGGAAAAGGACTGGAGTGGATTGCTTACATATACTGGGGTGATGGCAGCACTTCCTATTTTCAGTCAGTTCAAGGCCGTTTTACCATTTCCAAGGACAACAGCAAAGAGCAGGTGTATCTGCAGATGAACAGTCTGAAGCCTGAAGACTCTTCTGTTTATTACTGTGCTCGGATCCACAGTGACTGAAGTTGTTTAAGCAGCTGTACATAATCCTACACTTCTCACTATGATACATTTATCTTCAATGATAACTGCAGTATAATGAAAATTTTACTAACAATAGTTCTATTAATAGTATTACTGTAAGAAAAGTGTCTGTAGTTCATTATATTTCACTCTGCTAAACTTTCTATTGGTGTCTTCTTCAGTGACATCTATAAGGTGATTCCATTATCAAAGTTAATAAAACATGGAGGTCAGCTAAAATGGTAACAACCAGTTTTTCTGGAGATCTTTCTTAGGTCTTTTCAGGTGATTCCAGCTGATTTAATGAATGTCCAAGCTGAAACAGTGTGTTGCCCTGATGAAAAGAAACAGAACAACAAAATATTTTTTTAACAGGATACAAACAGGATACAAAGTGAAAAACACACACACACTCACACAAAAAAACAATTAATAATTAATAAAAAACAAGGCTTCCTGCATTTTTTCATCACTGAGTTCCAATCAATCTAAAAAAAATAAGTAAATAAATAATATCAGGTTTCAGACATGATATTTGATGCTTATGAGATATACTCTACTTTTCTAGTTATGGGAAATTCTCTGTTCTCTTTTTTTTCTCAAACACACGGAAATGTTAAAAAGAAAAAGCTTGAATGACATCACCAAGTGACAATAATGAACCATTCTGACAGCGCCACATGTCTCTCCATTGTCATTTCAAGTGAGGGAATTTGATTTCCAGATGAGAATGAAAAAAATGATCTTTGGATTTCTGTTTTTATCACTGTCAGCTTATTATGTGTCTGATACAATAGACCAATAAAAAATGGTTATTTGACGATAAAAACCTTCTTATTTATCATGGTGTACAGTGTGCACTATAGTTCCAATTTCACATTTACAATACTGTCTTAAAGTCTTTAGTCAACTTTTAATTCTTTATATTTGGTTTATTAATGTGCACGTTACCTCACAGTGATACAAACCACTGACAGACCTGCACAAATACTCAGCAACAAGCAACACACAACCACACACATGTTGTAATTGTGAATCTGTATAATGAGTACTCTTTTGCAGCCAATACCAGGACTGTTTATTTTTTAACTTAATTCTAACCATATGTGCTACAACACAGGAATGTTGCTTTTAACTTGTTTTTCTCTTCATATAGTTACCAACTTAAAGCAAATTAGTTTTCTTTTCTTTTATATTTGAAAAGTGCTTACAGTCAAACTCTGATTCAGAACCCGTAAAAGGCCTTGAGAACTGGCTCCTGAAAAAAGACTGAACTATAATGCTGCTATTCTACTGACAATCACGGTCAATGGATTCACATTCAGTAAATCTTGGATGGAAGAACTGAAGTGGTTTGCTGCTGTTACATGTGACAGTGATTACACCAATTACTCTGTCCGCTCTTATCAGGTTAAGCCAAAGGTTGGACCCAGGGTGTGGATTCACAAACACGAGTTTGAAGTGAATGCTGTCTTTATATACAGTTGCAGTGTATTTAAACAAACAGACTTCTCTGGGAAAATCTGAAATGGGGACTGGGAGGGGGGCTAGCGACTGAGCAGGAGAACTGCCTGGCAGGCAGGATGACAGTGGAGGAAGCTGGTTGATCTGAGAGCTCGAGCGCAGCACATCACCCAAACAGCTGAGGCAGTGAAAGGATGAAGAACAGGCGCTGGAGATCACACACAGATAGGTTAACAGGAGGCTTGGAATAAAGACGGTGCATAACAGATTGAGGAGACAAGTGTTACCACAGAGGTAGTAGTACAATGTGGTGGAATTTGCCTCTTGAGAAACGCTGACCTGATGAAGGCAATCTAGAACAGTTGGGAGAGGTCCTCATCTGAGGCAGCTCCAGCCTGGTAACCCCTGCTTACCGAACAAAACACAAAACAATAACACATAACCCAGCCTGCTCATACCCCAACAGAGCTGACCCCTGTAAAACTGTTTGAATTCTAAAATCACTGTTGACGTTTCACTACCATAAACAAAAATATGCTTTAGGATTTAGACTGAAAACTAATGTTGTCATTCCTTTTGGAACACTGGAGGACAGTCAGTGTGAAGTGTCACCCTTTAGATAACAGCTAGATGAGCAGACTGCGAATTTAGCTGTGATTGCAAAAACGTTAGGTACAGTTAAGTACATCTTCAATTTTAAGAGAACTCCAAAACTAATAAAGAAACTTTCAAATCTTTTATCATTTACCTTTTTAATGATTTAATTTCTGTGCTGTGTTTTCTTGTAGGTGACAGAACTGAGGATGTTATTAATCACAGTGTGATTTTCAACTAGTAAAACTAGGAGGTAATGCAAAACTCAGTTGTCTATCACATCTATGTATTTGACTGTAGAAAGAATGACAGATCAGTTTTCACATTTTGATATGATGGACTGTAGAATTGTTGTTTTTCACTTCCTGCTGGGCAGATGAAGGTTTTCACTAGTATTTATTGGTTTTTTGTGCCCTTAAACAGGGGAAATATTGAGGAAAGATGAATGAAGACACTGAAACGCAGCTCTCGCCTTCACTTGTCTGTACTGATTGACTGAGGGAAGAAGGGTGCGTATTCCCACATTTGAGCCCAAAGGCATTACCAATAGCTCAACTCACAATCATCCAAGGCCAAACTCTTGCCACAGATTCCCACTGCCAGAGATTCTCCTACAGCAACACAGTCAAAACAACAATGAAGTTATTTTATTAGATATAAAGAACAAAAGTTTTTTACTCAGAAAGGAATTACATTTCTAACCCACCACATTTTGTCTTGAAAAAATTAAAACTTACTTTGTAACTGTGTTATTTCCATTTTCTTTGTTGTTGTTTTTTCTTTTTCTTAATTTGTCTGATATGTGTTGATGGTTGGACTCTCACTAATTCTGAACCAGCGGTTAAAAGGCCTGAAGAATCCCACAGACTGATTTGTACAGCCTCTGGATTCACATTTAGTGACTACCGGATCATTACTGTGTTTGAGCCACAGTGACTGAACCTGCTTGGGCATCTTTGCATAATTCTAATTACAGTTTATTTATTTTACATCTTAATTTTAATGCAGTGAGGATATTACTAAAAATAATGTTATTGCTACTAATACTACTAAGGTGTCTCTTTTGGACTTGTCTGAGAAGTTCTGGAAGTTCTTTTTTTTTCAGTTCTTTCAGCTATGCTCTTCATTCTTGTCTCCTTCAATGCCATCAAGAAGATGATTTCATTATGAGCAGTATCAATCCTTCATATAGCATGGTGATCAGTTAATAATAAACTTTGTCTAAATCTGTTCAGATTTCAGGCATCATTCAAGCTATTTAAATGGATTTTCCAGGTCCAGCTGTAACAACTTTTCCACCTGAATGAAAAGAAATAAAACTACAACACACTCATCAGACTTATCATTGCATCTGTAGTAATCTTGAAAGAGGGGGTCTATGGAATTCTTCTCACTGACACTGTCACACACATCCCAGAGTGATGCCATTATGCTCTAAGAAGCATAATGGCACAGAACTCAGAGGGTCATTAAACTGTTAGTCTGAACAACAATGGATACTTTTTGCTATCTGACATAATTTCCTTAGGAATTAGTATTAAATTCAATTAAATTCAATAAAATTTTCTAATTACAATTCTGTTTATTTGTGATCATGGTACAAGATTATTCATTATTATTATTATTAGCAGTAGTAGTACTTGTACTTGTACTTGTACTTTGGATTTTATTTGAGAGCCACAGTGACTGGAGCTAATTTAACAGCTACACAAATCCCATCAAAATCAATGCTGATTATGTGGGTTTTATTGAAACTGGTAATATTTAATCTTAGAAAGATGAGGCAAAAAGAAAAAGGAAACAAAAACACACATCTTTTGTACAGTAAATTGTGCTGCTTAATGCATTGTCCAAGTATGAGAAAAGAACAACAACCAAACAATCAAACAACAACAAAAAAAAAACACTAGAGGGCAGTCAATGTCAAGTTTCTCCCTTTAGAGAACAGTGAGTGTAGCTCAGAAAGCCGGTGTTTATTAAACCACAATGACTGTGACATTTACAAAGATGCAATAGCCTATATTAGAATGGAGTGTAGAATGAAATGTATAATATGCTGGGTTTTTTTTATTTTTTTAATAGAAAAAAATCTTTATCACATCAAAACAACAATGTTGAAAAGACCCCAGAATGGGTTTGCAGAAGAACAGAAAACAGAAAATAATTCAGTGTATGACCGAGGTCAGGAAAGGTTTTTTGAATGGATACAAGTGGAACAGCATCCCCTCACTGTCAAATCTACTCCCTCCACTGAATCTTTTAAAACTACAAAACTTTTTTTTTGTTTGCATTTGAGACTGTCTGAATTGCTCACCGTCTCTTTTGCGGGTTTATTGCCACTATGGACTGAATGGTGAATGGACTGATTCTTATATATATTATCTATACAACATGCCACATTCACCCACTCATACAAGCACTACTAAACTCAAGTGCAACTGATAAACATTGACACACACATTCACACTCCGATGAACGCATCAGAGGGAAATTTGGGGTTAGTATCTTGCCCAAGGATATTTGGCATGCAGATCTCAGTAGCAGTCATTCACTTCAACAGCTCCACCTCCAGAGTTGACAGCAGATAGCAGCTGTTTTTGCAGGTGCAGCGGAGAAAAGTGAGATTAACAAATTTAACAGTTTCAGTTCTGCAAAATCCAAAGAGCAAATTAGAGTATTAAGCAATCTTGAAAGAATAAGTCAGTTAGCATTTTTGTAACATAAAATCATAAGCTTGAAAGAAAAAGGCAGAGCAGTTTCATATCATTTTTTTTTTTTTTTAAAATGAGCCAGAACCATAAGCAGTATTTTTATTTTTATGTTTTTGCACTCAGTCACACCTGTTTCATTTCCTGAGTTATTACTTTCTGTGGTGCAGTATTTCCTAGTATTTCTGTAACTGAAAACACAATTTGAATACTGAAGCATTCTTGACTTTTGGT